ACCTAGGGCTAATCTCATTAATTCAATCTCTGAAAAAAATCGACGTCTGCAAGGGAATTAGGCAAAGTTTGCCTGCATTAGACTGGAGACTCGAGCCAACCTGACCCGCTGCAGAGGCGGGAGGAGAAGGAGCAATCGCCACCATCAACCCCTCGACATCTGTGAGGTGCTGGTTTAATTAGCTTACTGAAACCAATTGCATTCACACAGCCTAGCTTGGTGAAAAGATTTATTTTTTCCTCTAAAGTTCAGTGGCAGATACTACAATGACGTCATGTTCCCTCGCTGTCAAATTTAGAAAAAAAACAACTTCCCCATCCCAAAAAATCTACCAAAAATCAATTAAAGAGGCTTTGATTTAATTTTCATCACATTCAAATCAAACAGAACTTTCAATACTGGTTTTATGAAAACATGGGAGAATCTGAAATAAACTTCAGAATCATGCAATATTGACAAGACAAATAATAGATTAATTAAGAGGTCCTTTATCTTCTCTCCACCTCTACTGTTTACCAATAAAGCTTCAGGGAAAGAATATTTATAGGGGATTTCACCTCATCTAACTTCAGCCATCAAAACTTCTGATTTGAAGCACAAGTCAAGCTCTTGAGCTTGAGTTTCAGCTATTCCTACACTCACTGAACAGATACAGGTACCTCTAGAGGGCAATAAATCCCATTTAAAGATGTGCGTTCAAAATCCTACACAACAAAATCCTACAATTCTTTAGGTGGAAAGTATCTCACCTACCATTAAACTAAATGTACTCATATATTAAGGATACTGCTCTTCTCACTTAAATGTGATAATAGTTGAGTCTTAAGCTCAATCCTTCTACTTTTCCCGTGGTCAAAAGTGAATGATGCCTTTCTCAAGCATCTATTATAAAATGGAATAAAGCTTGCAATAACGTGTGGGCCTACCGAGGAGCCTAGAAGATAAATCAGAATCCTTTGGTTCAAAATCAAGCAGAAAGTCTACAGACGCAGACAATAACTGAGCCTATGGAATGACCTGGACTCGCAGAAATACAGGGTTGTGTCCAACAGTTCTCATTAGGATAAACTATAACAGCATGTGCTTCTCGAGCCCAGACAGTTAGCTGGCCTATACCCATTACTCACAGATGTGCTGAACTCTGTTAGCTGCAGTTTTCAGTCATTGACCAACACAACTATATGTGATCATAATGCAGGTTTTTTGCAGTTTTTTGTTTGCTATCCTATCTAAATTCTTAGCATCTTTGAAAGTCTAAACTTATATAAAAATGCACAAATAGAATTTTCTAAAAGAGATGCAGGTTCTCAAATGAAGAAAGACAGGACAGCCTTGGAGCAAAGGAGGTCTGTCTAGCACCAGCAGTTAGCAATATGTTTAATGACAGGAACAATCTGTTGATATCCTAGAACTACAATAAAAATAGGATTATGTATTTAATTTTAACTAGTTCAGATATATTCAGAGATTTGATATTTTTTAGAAACCTTCATGACACTCAAAATACATGATTTAAAAGAAGACAACAGCATGTTTTACAGAATCATGAATGGCTGCTCAGAAACCACACGAACTTTACAATAAACGTTTAAAGTACATTAAATCCTGTTCAGCTCAACTCCACAGTTGGGTAAGAGAAGTGATAACCAACAGGCAATTTCAGTGGTGACACTTCAGGCCATTGCTGTGACTGCAGCTCCTGTGGACATTCCTCAGCTAGTTTATATAATGCCAGCAATACGAGCATGGCAGTCAACAGCACAGCAGTCTTGTCCAGTCACTTGCAAATTTACTTCTCTTTTGGGTAAATATTGCAACCTCATTCAAATACTGTGCTGCTGCAGTAGTCATTATCTCAACTCAACAGTTGGTTTGGCAACAACAGTATTTCTGTGAACTGGAGCAAAGCTATTTGATTACAACATAGATGTATTTTAACAGACAAACACCGCTGAATGTTTTGGCCCTCCTGAGGCAAACCTTCAAATCAGATACGAAGGCCTCATGGCAATGGATTAATTCTCTGCTCCTGTTTCCTTCTGAGCTATTTCACCTTGGCCCCCCAAAAAATGAACTAGTGGATCTCACCTGAGAAAATATTTTCTGAAAAAACTCGTTTGAATTTAAGTAATTCCTTTCATGTGAATTAATTAACTTTTCTATTCCCTGTGAAAAGTAGAGAAGCATCTATCAGCTATCTCCACTTCACTGGCAAAGATTCACTAAAACTTAGTGACTCTCTGACAGGCACAAAGAAGTTTCATGGTAAAAGAGGAAGAGAAGTAAGCATCTCAGCAAGATACAAACAGGACTTCTAGATATGTTGATGGTAGTTGTCTAAATCATATGCTACTGTGTGTCCTCTAATGAAGGCCAACACTGGCCACTGATACCAACCACATTCTCAGGCTGTGGCTGCAAGTATAATCAACCAACCAGTCATCACAGTTAAATCACTACCAAGCTCTATTACGAGAGCAGGTGTAAAATAAAATATCAGTGTCATCAGCCATAATATTAGTCTGCTTTTCTCCCCCACCCTCAATTCATTTCTTTTTGGAAGATTTGGAAGATTTCTTTTTGGAAATGAGCTGAGGAGGGTAATACATTGCCATTCCCTTTAGAGAAATGTAAAGGCAATCTACTCAGAGTGAACACAAAAAGCTTTATGCTCCTAGTATACTTCCTAATGAGTATTCTTCTCAGCATCACCATTACTTTGTTGCTGTTTGGGCTTCTATAACCCTCCTTCGGTAATTTTCTCAAGTTTGCAGTTTTAATGCTTGTACAAGATGATGTGCTGAAAGATTAAGTCAATCCTTTATTCTCATGCAAACTACATGCTTGGATTTTAACTCTTAGAGTGCCACACAGTGGCCACACATATTTTAATGGGCAACAGCTGATTGATTCCAAGGTAAAAATCATATAAGCAAAAAGATTTCATTTATGACATATTGACTATCCATTGCCTATACTCCCTGCAATCATTTACAACTCAGCAAAAAAGAAAACATTTTCCTGATTTGTTAGCATTTTACTTTTGGGAGGCACTCACTTTGCATAGGACAATGTATATGGAAAAGTCAATCAGGACCTACTTATTTTATCACACTTGAACAGCAATCTAGTGGTGTAATTTTAGACTCAGCCTCAACACCAGCACTTAATTGCAGACTACAAAGGCTATGATGTTTTGCCTCCTGGCAAAATGACGCTAAGAAGCTACTTTTCCTAGAAGCAGCTCTAGTGCCTGTATTCTTGCTCAGTCCTATTCCATCCCTGTGTTCTCTGAGATTCTTCCTGACCATCAGAATTTTGGAATTTAGTCAGCAGATTTTGCTGATAGATTGAAGCAGGTTTTCCCAGGTAGCAAATATGTTGTTTCCCTTTAGGCTTCTACAGTAACCAAAAGTCAGCAACACAGACCAAGACATTGCAGATGTTTGACTAAAATTTTATCCGAATCAGTAAGTCCCTAATATTTCTACAGGAAAGATTTTTAAGGAGGTATCCCTATTCAACTACACATGAATGCTAAAGTAAAGGAATATAGGCTTTTAGAGTCATCTCTATGCAAACCTATTCATCTTTTCTCCATTAAAATTTCACATATTACCATAAACATACCTGGCTTTTAAGAGACACCACAAAAGCAGGGTCTAAGTCTTGCCCACCTAACAGTTGAATTAGCAAGGAACCAAAGTGGTAGGCAGGCTCACCACAGGTTGTATACTGGAGTGTACACATCCCTGAAGCCAAGCAAGAGAGATGGGCACTGAGGTATTAAGAATCCTGGCCTGCATTTGCACAGGTTACTTCACTTTTTTTGTAGCCTCCATTTCATTAGCAGTAAAATGAAAATAAAATCCTGACTTTAGCAGTGAGCCTGTAAAGTTTAATTCATTTAAATTCCATGAAAGTCCTTTGAGCTCTTTATAGGAGAAGTATCACTTAAATAAGCTTTGTTATTATTCCAAAGGAGAAACTGTAACAAAAATCCTATCTGGTTTATTATATCTATTCCAACTTGCATATTACTGCCCGTATGCCCAAAAGGCCTGCTTGTTCCTTCCTCTTCTGATAAGGACTTGTGCTAATCTAAATGTGTTATATAACAGAATACTCCATTTAACACAAAAATATAAGACAAACAGTATCAAATAAATGCTATGATTATCCGTTTTTTCAATATTGTTTTAAATTACATAGCTTACCATTGTTATTCCTAAGTTTTGCAACAACTTACACCACATTTGCTTCTCTATCAGTTGCAATACATTCAAATCTCTCCTCCTATCTATGAATTAAAATTCTTAACTATTTTTATGAACATAGAAACAGAACCCACAGTGTTGATTTGTCTGTCTATAACTAGCCCAGTGTTGGTGTTGCTAGTTGGTGTTGCTAGTTTTTAGCCAATACTGCATTGTTCTCTATTTAACTTTCATCTATTCCTAAATAACAGAATGATGGAGAAAGAAAATACAAGAGATGCTGCAGCCCTTCAGTAATACAAGCTATAGTAGAATTCATCTGCCCTCTTTTAGATGTTCAGAATTTAAGAACTCCAGGGTGTAGCGGCTTCCCCTCAGAGCTTTCATGTACTGCTGTCTAATCCAATGATGTCTCCCTTGATTACAAGCACTGGGACAAACAGCCTCATATATCTGAACACGCCCAATTATTACCATGGCTTTCTATGGGCTATAAACAGTGCAGATCCCAGAGGCCAATTCGTGGGGCCGGAATGTGACCAAATAACCATCAAAAACTGAAAGGATGGAACTTTTGCAGTATTGATGCCCATCAGCTTGACAGACAGTTAAAAGATCTACCATAATTTTAACCTCTTTATTGCTACCAACATTACTCAATGTTTAAGAGACCTAGCTATAACCCCAGGTGTAGAGGTAAAAGGCAAATTCCCAATACCAATTTTTTACTTGTCTTTACAAGTCAGAAAATTTATGGAAAATAACAAGAACCATTTTACTTACCTTTCCATGAAGTTTCTGGACGTCATATCTTATCTGAGCAAATTCACGGAGTCCAAAAGATCCACCAACGAGGTACAGCTGAAAAACAATAAAATAAAAATAGATGTGCTTGGACTATTTAAAAATATAAAAAAACCAACCAACCAACACAACGTTCTGCATACTGACCCACTGCATTCACAAGAGACCCTACTACTCTTCCAACAGGAACACCAGGAAGTAAAGATAACAACCTCAGTGGAATATATGTGGAGGAGAAAGGGTAGAACATGGGACGTGAGGGCTGTGGAATGAGTCTCTGGGCCTAGGGACTTCACAGATGTCCTCCCTCATACACAAAGCGCTGCTTTGTGACTCATTTTCTAGGGGTTTCCTCCATTTTTCTCCCTCCCCCATATGGCTTCCTGCCATAACTGCAGCTCAGGAACCTTTACCTCGCTGTGATGGGATGAAGTCTCACTATTTTCAAACTTAATGGGGAAGCAACAGCCCCATGCTGGCTTATACTGATGTCTGTTCCTAAGAGACCCCATTAAGCTTCTGAAACAAACTGCCTGATTGCAGCTGTGGCTCAATGGCACATTATCATGTAGGCTAAGAAATCAAATCCAGGCCACCTGCATTTTTATGGTTGCCCGATTAGCTGCCTTGCAATTCCCCCCACATCTGTGAAGTTTATGAAAGACAATAATAAAGGGAAAAATGAGGAAGGCAGAATTTCAAGACTGAATAAAAAATTAATTCCACTGTTCTTATGACAGAGGGCTATCATAAAATGTCTATCTCTATCATTAAAAAGGTACAAGTCAAGTATAAGATCAAGTATTGTTAACAAACACCATTAAGGATTCAGAAATTAGTTTTAAAATCTGGCTCCTGTGTTGAAGGACGGGGGGGCTCTTGCTCCGATATGCCAGGCTCCATCTGCTCTGCTCTGTTAAGACCCCCTGGCACATGTGCAGAAGGCCAGAAGGCTTCAAAGAGGTGCCCATCTAGAGAAGGTGGGAGTACGAGGAATCTCTAAGGATTTGAGCAATAAAAAAGAACCCTATTTTAATCCTACCACATCACTGCTACGTTCCTTCATTGCAGACTGTAATGGCAACAAGTGTTTTCTACAGATCACCAGCTAACTGCATGAAATGTGTAAGGCTTCTAGCAAAGGCCAGTGTTCAGCAACTGTGATAACTCTGCACGCTCACTAAAGTGCATGCTCCTTCCAAACTGCCTGCTCTCCCAAGCTCCTGTCAGTGAAGCCACAAAACCTACAGACAGGTACCCCCAAAACTCATCTCTGTTCACATGGTTGGGAACCCTTGACCAGCAGTCAAGCATTAAAGGCTCCAGAAACTTCTTCTGCCTTGACTATTTTTATAAGGCTGAGAATGTAGTCGACCATCAGAAATAAACAGATCAAAGCTTTATGATACAAACATCTAGCCATTAGGTCACAAAGCTACAAATTCAAAAAGCCCATCAAAAACATCACGCAGTAGCAAGTAATTTTTCGTGATTACAAACCTGACCATGGACAGCATGGACAGCACCATACTAGTACCATCACTATTTAAATTAAGAATGCCCTTGCAAACATTTAATCACTACAATATGGAATTGAATAGAATCTATTCATATAAAAGAAAAAAAAAACACAACTATTTTGTCATGTGTCAGCATTTCGATAACAAAGACTAAGAGGGAACAGAAGATTAAAGTAGCCAAAATGGTCAAGGAACATGAATGTTATTCAAGATTTAATCCAATCTGATTTATCAGCTGCAGATACAGCAGCACAAAATGCTGAAAGTCTCAACAATCAGACAATAATCGAATTCTACATGACCGACCTCTCAGCATAATTTTTCTTTACCTGGTCTTCTTTAGTTGCTAATGAGTCCAGTGCTAATAAACAGCCTAAGGGTTAACACAACTAATTTAATTCCCTAATGAACAGGGATCAGAAACAGTATAGGAAAGTTTGCAGCTGTCGGGAGCTGCAGGTTGGCGCCTCTTCACAGCCCAGCACGTTTCCAAAAACGGCTGCAGCAGCTGCACCAAAGAGGGGTGCAGGAGACAGCTATTAAGCTACGCAGAAAGCAGTAATTGCTCATGATACCCATTAAAGATAGTTTGCCCAACAACCAACTTGCATCAAGTAGACCATTCAGAGACACAATATGAACAGATGGGAGACCTCTAGCTGGCCTGTTCCTCATAACCCAGTTATTATTTAACACAATGAAAAAAAACCCGCTGTCACTTAGGGAAGCCACTTACCAATTAATAAAAAAAAACCACATTCTTTAGCTTTCACCATTTAAAGCCACAAAAGGTTGTTACATGAAGTAACATGTTCTGCTCTAGGTATTTTGTTTCATTCTATCCTGTCACTTTATGACAGCAACAATTTATTATATACTGCATCTCGCATCTGTTGCTATATAAATGATAAAGAAGTTCATACACATACACCTCTCTTCCTTACAACAGGTTCTGGCCCGCAACTATAATTTTGTTCACACCATCTTTTTTACTACTAAGAGCACAAAAAGTTTCAGTTCTGATCTACTTTTGCTCCTCATAAAACACAAGCAGCCTTCATACCCTGGTGAGGTGCACATCTCACTTAACACACACATCAGGGTGGCTGCCTTCGCACTTCACTACAAAGGCTGATTGCTATTTTAATGAAACATCAGTTCAGCTGCATCAGAATCACAGCACATCAATGCTGTAGGAAAACATTAATGCCACTAAAATATTAAACACCATAATGCTGAATTATGATTGGGATTATATGATACAGCATATTTTCAGAAGCACAGAATAGGCATAAATATATAAATAATATTTTACAATTTTATTTGACCCAAGTTCTGAAGAATTAAATATAATATCCCAGACTTTATTGCAAAAGGTTATCAAGATTAGTAATAGCCAACATTTTTAATACAGCAACAGCACTTCCCTGCAGTTAGCTAACAATACGTAACATGAATTGCCTTGATTGCAGCTACAGAAGCTACAATCACCATGGACAGCTACTCAATCCGTTATATTTTTGAAAATGGTGTTCAAAAAACAATAAAGACAAAACAAGGGGGCATCAGAGAGCTTATGCAATTATAACAGTATTTAAGGGAATACTAGACTTGGCAACATAGCTTGCTGAGTGAAAAACGCTACCCTTGTTTTAAGTGTTTCTTTTCCCCTTTGCATTTTGAAGGAAGATGTTCTCATTACCTTCATTTATGTTATGTGTATTATGTTATGGAAGAATACACACAAACAGCAGTTAAACATTAGGATTCAGTGATCAGAATAATAAGTGTGGTAAGTCTCAAGTGAAGCATCCCAGTAACATTATTAGCTTGTCAGCTTTATCTGTTCTGTATGTTTCACATATATTTCTAGGATCTATATTTGTAAGATGAAGATAACTTCTGAATAAAGAAATCAGTATAGTGGATGAATTTGGCTAAGATCTCACTTTAAGCCAAAACCAAAAGCAAAGTCCAGAAGTTTCCATTTACTAGTTCAGACCAAAGCAAACAAACAAACAACAACAACACAGGACAAATCCTTGCAGAAACTATTTAAGATGAAATACAAATAAATGAGGGTGAAAAAGCTGTAATGAACTTAGACACAAGTTAACATTCCAGGTAACAGAAGTGGAGGAGTAATTCCACATATAGCAAATATTAGGATGTATTTTTCTTCATTCCAACCTTAGAATCACACACATACCTAGCTTATTTCATAAAAATGACAGGGTATGTACATACCCAGCAAGGAAGATCCAAGTAAAACTGCACCCTTTACTGTGAGGGAACTGCTATTCATTTATATGACAGAGAACATGGAAAGAAGATCAGTTATTATGTAATTAATATGATCTGTCTAGTTATTTAAATGCGTTTGGCAATGGCTGAAATGATGGTGCGCTTTCACTTTCTTCTTTGCCTTGAAATGCACCTTACAGAGGTAAAACCATAAAAGTCATCATAAAAAGGTAGCCAGCACGTAACACTATTCAGCCCTGCAGAGCTCACCGCTGCACTATTCCTCTCCGCGGCCGGGACCGCGTGGCCCTGCTCGCGAGGCTGTAATGTAATTGCACATGCATGGAAGGCTTGCACGTTGCAAAATAAAACAGAGATAGGATGTGACATAAGAGCACCATCTGTCACATACGTTCAGTAACCTCAATAAATGTTCTACGTAAAAAATAATAATCATAATAAAAAGACATCAAGTTCTCCTTAATACCATTCTTCTAAAGATTCTGCACGTTTACTCCTGCTTTGAGATGCAGGTTATGCCTATGAGTTACAGATGGCATCAGACTGATAACTGAGATGCACCTCAGGACAGGGAATACTTGTTTGGCACCATCTACAACAAGCTGATCATGGAGAAACCACCAGAACCTGCATTTGCAGCAGATTTCTGTTTTTTAGCATTTCCTGCCTAAACTGAAGCAGCCCCTTTTTCAGCCCCTTCGGTTAACAAAATAACCAGCACCTCTTTCTCTGGCATCACTAGCTCTTTGCTGTGCTACAGCCTCCCTGCTGCTAGAGAGAATCATCCCTGCTGCAGCGCTGCCGGTGAAAGCCAGATTACAAAATTACATTCCTTTTGTCATAAATCCCTAAATTAATCATATCACAATATTCAGTGCTGGCAACACAGATTATGCATTCGTGGAATGAAAGCAGGAAAACATTATGATATATATCACTGGAGAAGGAACATGGTAATTTTCTAGCCTTCTCTTCAGTATGGCTGCAGCAAAACCCTCCAGCTATTCATCATGCAGCTTCAAAACCATAACAGTCATGTGAATCATTTTATTTTAGTTTGCAGTGATCACAGTTAAAAGGTTTTGGGGGGTTTCTTTTTAAAGAACCGTTGTATACGCAGTTCAGGACTGGTGAAAGATGCCAATTTGAATGCCCAGAAGACTGAAATCTCTTATTTACTCCCTAAATAAAGCAGCTTGGGTAGCAGCACTGCAATTGCCAGTCCCACAAAGGACCTAGGCAAGGAACTTTGGCCTGAAGAGCCCCCCTCAAGTCCTGGCCCCCGGGGTTATTTTCCACAGCCTTTTCCACTCTCGGCTCTAATGTTTAAATTGCTAAAAAGGGATAAAAACAGGGCAGTCTTTTCTGAGAAACTTGCTAACCCCTCCAAGCAGAATAGGATGTCCTCCTCCTCCATCTTTTCTGCAGCAGATGGAAATTACTTTCAGTTCAGGTCAGACACCTCCTTTGGGGGAAAAACAAAATAAAAACTACAAATGCCTCAATGCTGATTTGAATCAAATGCAGGACAAAACAAGAGAAGCACTGACTTCTGTGTATGACAGAATCCACAAACTGCAGAAGGCCTCAACTGCATTATATGGCAAAAACAGCAAATGAAAACAGCTGGTATGAACTGCAGCCACTGGTACCAGCACGGTTGAGGAGAATAATGTCATTTTACAGAATACGGGACTTTGTGCAGAGCATGAAGCTTGATCCAAGGTATCAGGTTATTTGGATCAATATAATGCAGGTCCAAAGCAGTGCCTGAAGACTGCAGATATGCACAGTTGCAGGCCACAAAGTAAAACAGACCCAGGCCATATACTTTCAGTGCTACTACTGCATGCCTTACGAAGAAAACAAAACCCTTCCCACTAAAAAGTCCATTACATAACAAGTTGCAGAGTGCAGTATAAAGCAGTCTGAGAGCGATGCAGACGAGACAGCTACCCATGTGCTCCTTAGTGTGAGAATTAGCAAAAATGGGCATTTTTGCCCATTGAGCCACAGCGTTGTCATTTTGCACCACATACAGTTCTAGGACTGGACAGATGACATGGGAATTTCATTCAGCAGATGCAGCTGTTTGAAATCCAACTTTGCTGCAGTGGTCAGGCTGCAGTTTCTCAATATCACTACTTCTTTCCTCATAAATTTCTAAGCAGTTGAAGTTCCAATTTTATTTTAAAAGTATTGCTCATAGGTTCAGATCTACACAAAGTCCACTGTGATGAAAACCTGTTTTCACGTGATGGCAACGTGTAATTCCTTGCCAAAGCAACAATAAACTCCTACTTATGTTAAGAAACACAAAAAGAGGCTACTCATGGTGAAAAAATCCCTCTGCACTGACAGTGCTGGACAGGGGCTGAAGACTGCACATACTATATATCCAAGTCAGCTAATTCAGACCACACAAACCAGGATTCACAGAAGCCCATTCAGCTGGAGCTTCCACCCTGGCACACACACAGGGCAGAGGATGGTTTTGGCTGGAACAGTTTCATGCTCCTTGGGGGATTCAAACAGACACGGATGCACAGAAGGGAAGCAGAGACACAAGAGACAATGAGGAAACATCCCCCAATGAACTGAGGCAATATTTAGAACACAAGTGATAGAAAGATACACAGGGACAGTATGTGAGTCGTTGATTGAGAGTAAGTATTTTAAAATCCTAAAAATAGTTTCATATTTATTGCTCTTTTAGGCTGCAGATGTAATATTAGCAGACTTTTACACCCAACTGCAATTCATCTTCAAATATTAGAAGCCAAAGTGTTCCTCTCATGAGCATTTGTCAACTTATCTTTTGAAAGCATATTAAGATCCAAATTAAGAATACATCCTATTTGATTGTAAAGTTACAGGAATTTACATATATATCTAAAAATCACGTAACTCAATATTATGAATTTTTCCAGTTGATAATATGAATGATGTTAACAAGATAACACTGACATCTAAAAGTGAAAAAAAAAAAAATGATGATTGTAGTAACCATTTTCCATATGGTATCAGAAGGTAATGAAATAACTGTCTTTATACATAGGCAATGATGTCAGCAAAAGATCTCAAACACAGCTACTCTTAGGAAGAGTTTTCCTCATTTCTGAGCTTTTATATCTTCTTTACTGCCAGATTCTTCAAAAATAGTGGGGAAAAATATTCCTACTATTGAACAGTCAAGGACTGAGAGTTCACTGGCTTTTAATGAAATTTATCAGGAATGTTGATATTAAAGAAATCTTTGGGCACACAGTTATTTAAATAAATTTAAATAATAACAACCTTGTGAGTTTTTGTACATATTATCCATGTAGGACTTTCAGTAACAATCAGCACAACAAAATACCACTTTGAAATATTTTTTTCCAGACTTGACCAGTGAACAGAAGGAATCTACAGACATATGAATTCACGTTCTGATGCTTGGCAAATGTTTTAATCTTCTTTCTTCATTAACAAGGGCGCAAGACGCCACTGCCATTGCCTGATGGTGCCTGGGAGCACTGACCACATTGCTGCAGCACTGCTAGGGATTCATTCTAGCCTGACCTTTCCTCTTGTCGTGTATGTATCACACACGAGGGGCCAAATCCTGATCGAATTTAGCTTACCTTGGTCAAGCAACAACAGAGATGGCAATTTAGTACAGCCAGAGTGCAAAAACACTGACAAAAACTGACTGTAGGAACATGTTTATTGACAGAAAAAAGACGTGCAGTTCCAAACTAGCCAGTCTTATGGCAACAGTTTGAGCAGCACTTAGAACACTGAAGTAGAGATACTGATGGAGAAGAAAACACACAAGAGAATTAAAACTAAAACCAGGCTCATTATGGGCTGGGAGGAAGAAGACAAAACAGCAAAACAAAAAAGTCAGAATCCACATCTATAGGTATTAACAATGTTGCAAGATGCTGCAAGTTTGAAACTTATGACACTTTGTTTATAGCAAGGCATATTTATGTGCAAAATGAAATAAAAATTTACAACCAAGGCACAGAATACATTTTCTGTCTGCCAGAATGCCACTTCAGACCCAAAGGATTCCATTTTCCCCTTACTAGATGTTCCAATGGAACTTAAGCCGCATTTGTATGTTCCTTTTGCAGCTTAAATAGCTTGGAAGGAATAGGACAAACAGAAACACAAATCCAAGTGTTGGAAAATGCAAGCTCAGCAGACAGTGTCCATTAACACGTTTTAAAAACTGTCACTGGTTTGCAGTTTTGAACCTTAAACGTGTTTCCTCAATGATCTGAGGTCACAACTTGTAAACCTGAACTTGTAAAAAAGAAAGACACAAAGATTTGAAAATTATCGTATCACAGAGACAGCACAGCCTCGAACGCTACAGCAGGCTCTACAGATATGTCTGTACAACTTCACTAGAGTTCCTCCCAATATCTACATAACCATCTTTATGCTTTAGGACTACCCACACTCACACTAGCACTCAAGTTGTTAATATACTCCATGGCAGCTTATATCACTCTCCTCCGTGCACATTGCTGCGCCATGCAGATACCCTATGCGCAAAGAGTTAAAGAAAACATCCCCCATTAACCAAGGTTTCTGTCAGATTTAATTCCTAGTCCCCACAGTACTGCTGATACACATAAAAAGCCACTTTTACCTCTGAGAAAGCACGACTGAAAACTGTGATTTGCATATCTTACTCTGAAAGCTGTTGTCAGCCTGAGGTTTTACAGATCAACTAAGAAATTCCCTTCTACACCTAAATATTCTAGCATCAAACTCAAATGAACATGGGAAAAACACCAAGCTAGTTCACACTAAAAAGGAAGAAATGTTTTAGTATGTATTTGTGCACGTGTGTGCAAAAGGACAATCACAGACTTACTCTGGACTGGAAAGTTCACCTATTTACACCACGTAACCAATCACATATCAAATCTGATACAGGATTGCAGAACTATGGTGACTTTTTCCCCACCAGAACATCATATTTTAAGTTCCTACAATTCAATTTTGTAATTCAATTCAATCAGGATATTTTTTTTCCCCAAAAAAAAAAAAAAAAAAAAAAAAGAAATCCTTTAGAGAGCAGTAGTAGAGCTGAGATTGGGCTGAGGAGTATTAAACTTCTTGGGTTCTCCTCACTTTAGAAGATAAGTACTGAACCTCAAACGAAGAACTCATCAAGATCAGGACTGTGACCTAATAATACATCCAATTTTAAACATCTAAGCAGGGTGCTATGAAACAAAATAATGTCAGAACATTGAAAAATAAGTACAAAAAAAATGAGAAAAGCAGCTAATTCAATTCTGATCACGATGGGAGCATAGTTTGCACAGCCCTTTAGGTGTATGTACACAGCAGGATGTCTGAACGGCTCTAGCCTCGTGCCTGGTCAGTAACGTGTTACACGAGGAGCTGACCACGACAGCAGGGATTGCACTGGGGGATCCAAATCCACTCATCATGTTATTTTTTATAATCGCAGAATGGTTCTGTTAGTTCCCATTGCTCACAAGCATCTTTACCAATGCTTTAAGATACATTTGCTCAATTTATGTTCCCATTAAAGTTCCTTTTCCCACAGGCTTTGGTCCCGTGACTTACAGATACCACTTTAAACAAAAACCCTTCCCAAAGCAGAGGTAAACCGGGATGGCCCTGATTTCAATAGGTGCCACTGCCTTTCTTTGGACCATTTAAGAGTTATGCTCCGCTCTCCTCTTCGTCCACCTGCACATTCGCTCCTGCTTAATGAGCGAGTCGCTTAAACAGGAGGTAAAAGAGAGGGGAAAAAAAGGAGGGGAAAGGGGAAAGTCACCCGCCAAACAGCCGCTCCAGCCCCCCGGCCCGGCGGGCGCCGGGCACGGGCCGCCCCCTGCCGGCCGCGCCGCCACAGGCCGTGCCGCGCCGTGCCGCGCCGCGCCGCTCACCAGGAGGGGGAGGCCGAAGGTGACGGTGCGGCCCCGGCACAGCCTGCGCAGCCGCTCCATGCGCCCGCGCCGCCATAGGCCGCGCCGCCTCCCGCCCGACCCGGCCTTGGCCTTGCCGCTTCCGGCGCGGCGCCGGTCCGCCCGCCGCGGCGCTCCCCCCGCGCGCCGCGGCCGGAGCACCGGGGTTCCGCCCCGCCACTCCGCAGTGCTTCCCAACGGCCTCCCAGTCTTTTGTCGCACGCTTCTGTGCGCGGGCCCGTCTTCTTTAAACAAAGCCCTGTGGAGAGCTGCTGCTTTAATGCTTCTTTAAAAATTACTGTTTGAGAAAGGCTCAATCCACAGAAAACTTAGTGGAGCTCTCCGTGTCGCACACGCCTCCATGTATCCCCAAAACCATCTGGACTCCAGGGCTTTGGCTGAGCCCAGCAGTGGGGAGAAAAGGACGGGGCAAATAACCCCTGAGCGATTGTATAAAGACTTCCAGCAACGGACACTTATTTGAGATGTGTAGGTCCAGTGGCTTCCCACCCTGCTGTGACCTGTCTTGTACTGAGCTCCTGATACAACAGTGACCTCCAAGCGAGAGCTCCCAACTCCGGTGCTTCATTTTTGCCCCGTGTTCTGGAGTGATGATGGGATCAACAAGGAAGGGGCTGCCTCAGCAGCGTGACTGTTGGCAGGAGAACTTGGCCTGGGCAGCACGGTCAGCTGAATCTTTGCCTGTAGCCAAAAGCAAGGGGTCCCAGTGCTGTTTTCCTAAGGAAATAACGCTGCCGTGGTCGCTTGCTTGTATTGCTATCCCTCATCCCAATCGCACTGGATCCCCTGGATTCCATGTGTTTACAGAGGAAACAACTGCTCAGAAATCATAATAGCTGGACAAGGGACAGAGCCTGCCGACGGGCTCTGGGAAAGGCTGTGCTTTGAGTGCTCCTATTCCTGAGCAGCTGAGTAAAACAGACACAGCCATAGGAAACATAACCCCTTGGAGAAGAGCCCCATCTAGCCTGCAACCGGAGAGTTCCAGAATTAACCATTAAAATAAAATACTAAGCGAACAGAAGCGGAAAATTTTAGAGCCCCATAAAACTGGCATTAAAAAGACAGTCTGCTCTGAGACTCACAACCACGAGTCATTCATTCCTTCTTGTTGCTGTGTGTGCCTTGTCACCCTCCCAGGCAAGGATGGGGAGGACTTGTGTTTCAATGCTGTAAAAGTTATCAATTAAAAAAAGGCTACGGAAAACTTAGTGGACTTCTCCATGTCACACATGGGCAGCCACTATGTGCATGACTAGGGAGTGCTGAAGTTTGGAGGATAGAGTGCAAAAGATAAATATCCTTCAGGCACAAGCTGTGATGTTTTCCCATGCCCCTGCACCCAAAGGCTCTGCCATGCACTGGCAGCCTGTGGGAATGGAAGAGTGGACCTGGGAGAAGGAAAGCTCCCCTTTAAAAAAATGTAATGAAACACCTGCTGCCACAATGCAAAGAATAATTTAAAACTTTTTGGAAAATGCAACATTGATGGTTACTTCCTTTGGTCTTCTCCTTAACCGCAGGTACTGAGCAGGTGCTTTACTTAAGTTTTCTGAACATGTCAAGCAGCCACTACACATACACAAACTAAAAAGGAAAGACAAACATACATACATAATAACAAGCCAAACTAACATTCCTGCAGTCCAGTAACCACTAACTTTTTCTGTCTACACTAGAGACAAACAGAATCAAAAAATAACAAAAAGTAATATTGAAGGAGATGACTGCTTCTTGTATATATCAATAACTTGAAGCTGACATGGGCCTGAATTACAGAAACGTGAAGTCTCAGCTGGGAGTACTGGCAGCAAGAGGACACCTCTTTGTTCATCTCTGCACTGTGCTGAGACTGGCATGAGTTTGTCACAGAGCATAGGCTGGGGGAATAATTTACACAGGGTCTCTGAAAGAAAAGCTGTTTCTTTCTGAACTTCGTAAGCCTTTGTAAAAATTTGAGGCATAGGCCTCAAATCACATACTCAGAGGAAGCAACCCAAAAGATGAAAATATCCCATAGGAAAAATACCCTGAAATTAAGAGAGCTGCTATTATGGATAGAGAAATGCTGAGAAAAGAGGTTATTTCCTCTGAATTGAGCTTTCCCTAGAAACAGATGGTCTTTTCTTGTAACTCTAATATTCTACCTTACCTTCATTCTTATCATCTCACTTGGATACTGCTAGTTCTCTGTAAGCAAAATAACCCACAGCGGCTGATGCCAATGTGCCAAGTCAGCAGCCTCTTTCTCTCTCCTTTAAAGCGACACAAAAGCTCCTGGCAATAAGGTTTGAGCGTATGTTAATGCCACTCTCTTCAAGACTTACAAACTGTTCTTTTGTTTTTGCCATAACTGATGACATCTAAAATGCTCCCATGGTTTTAGAATCTAAAACAGCAGAATTGGAGAGTGTGAGGGAAAGGAAGTATGAAGCTAAATATAAATAATCAAATTTGATGTTTGGAAGGATAGGAAAAGTGCCTGAGAAAGTGCCTAAAAAGCATGTCTGTGCCAGAGATGAACAGTAAATTAGTCTTCCTTTTTAATAGTCTAAAATGCTGTTGAATTACAAAGATAAAGCTATCATCAATGTATATTTTATTTCCACAGTGTCCCTTTGTTCTTGTCACTATTGGCCAATAACCTCGGAGAGGTGTGGAGAAACCCTTTTGAAGATAGGGACGTGTTCTGGTTTTGACTTGCAGCAGAAGTTTCATGTTCCTCACCCTTATTGTGGATCCCCCCTTGCCATAAACAGACTGACAAACACAGAAGTAGATAAAGAAACATCTTTCATTTTTTTATGATCCTGACAATTGTTCCCAATACTTTAAGCACATATCCATCTCTCCAAGGGTGTTGAATGCAACTTGCCTGCCTTGTTTGCACTATAGCCAGTTAACTGCTTTACTTATTGCAATACTTAGAGACACTTTTCCTTGCGAAACATGTGCCGCTGGAGCCTATTTTCTACCCTCAGTACATGGTGATTTTTGGAGCTCAGCTGAAGAATGGAAACCTTAGGGTGATGACTGGCTGGCTTTTCTCTCATCAGGAGCGGACTGTTTATGACTGCACTTTTCTCTGCCTACACAAAAGCTCAGGGAATGACTCTTCTCACTTCCCTGCAGAGATGGACCTAAAAAGACATTTTAAAAGTCACTGCATGTAACACACTGCTGGTTATTGGTGGGCACCTGGGAACTTCAGAAAAATGCAGTTTGCACTGCTCCGTTAGGCTACAGTGGCCATAACTGTGGGGATATAGAGAGTCATTGTGTAATGTTGTTTCTGGGCAGCAAAATGTAGAACCAAATGGAAATTTTATTAAACATCCCTGGACAAGTCAGGCTAATCAAGATGGGTGCTATATCTGGATACCAGGATTGCAAAATTACTCGTAATGTGACATTGGCTGTGAGTAGCCAAGGTTAGTAAGGAAGCTGATTTTCGTTCTGTGCAGAGCTTGCAGCAGTTTGTTCACAGGATGAAAATGGGGGCATGTTGTAGAGGTTTTATTGCACAAACATGCATTCCCACAGGAGAAGCCATCCTCTGACAGTTGTATTTCCTGCTGATAGATCACTTCAAAGCCTGGGGCTTCACGAGCATCTGATAGCTTTCTCTGATTCTCCTTCCAGTCACTTCACATTGCACTTGCTCTTCCTTCATTTCTCTGTGCACGTGCATACCTGCATGCACATGCACACACGTAACAAACCATTAAGTGCAGACTTGAGTACGTGAGGACTGCTTGCGGTCAGGACCTTCAGCCCTGAGAATGTGCACCGCTGCATTCCTGAGCTAAAGAAACAGCTGGTTTGACTTAAAACACTCCTAGTCTCACTCTGACCAATAAACAGCCACAGCTTGGGTTCTTTTTGGATGGAAAGAGGAATTGTGACTTGGTAGGAGCTGTTGAGAATAGTGTTCCTAAAACGACCAGCCCATGTCAGTGCTCTGTGTGTTTCTTCTCTGTCCTCCTTTGTGTAGCCCAAAGAGTTGCAGGAGCTACAATTGCCTATGGCATTCCCCTGCACCTTCTGATTAGAGCTTATGGTTAGGTAACTGAGGGCCAGAACTGTCCTATCTGTCCTGTTCTTCTCCTCAGTGTCAGAGTAAATACATTCAAGAATCAGACAGATTCTTCTCAAAATTTAACCTGGAGAAACCACTGAGCCAGCTGTGCCTGTTTCTCATGCCACCAAAAGAGTACATGCAACAAAAAGCATGTTGGTGACCCACACATGGAAAGGGTTACCCATGCTTCTCTGTGTGTCTCTAGGTTTCCCTCTCCACCTCAAAGGAAACAAGTGGACATTCTTTGGGTACACCAGCTTTTGTCTTCTTGGGTTGGCTCAAAGGTATCCTGGGGAAGGGTGGTCACAGGAGAAAAATCTGAAGGAAAAAGTGAACTTCCCAGCAAACCTTTCTCCTCACCTTGCTGCTCCAGAGAGCCTTTCCCCGAAGTACAACCTGCAGTGAGGAGAGAAACTTGCCTGCCTGGTGAAAAGTGAAATAGAGGAAATGAGGGACTTTGACTAGAAGTAGGGGAACTGAGAGGGGTCTGTGCCAAGGAGCACTGGAATGGCTGTCTCTGCACCTACTTGGTAGCTGCCTCTAAGTACTGGCCCCATGCTCTTTTTTGATCCCAAAGAAAAGCCACGGGAACACATTCATTTTCTAGGTTCTTTTTGTTTTTTGTTTAAATAAATAGTAGAGCAGTCATTGGAGGTCTTAATTCTGAGTACTGAAAACCGTTGGTTGTAGAACAGCAGCACCTTTCATTTGTCCTTCAAATGATTTAGAAACCTGGTAATTACAAAAGGAGGGTCAGGGCTTACTGGAGCTTGTTGCTGGTCTAAGAGATAAGAAAGTTGAGCTCTGGCTCTGCTTCCTTCCCTGGGAAAGGGCCGGAAATATGTCCTGGGGAATGGCAACCCCAGCCAGAACAGGGAAGAGGGTGGTGGGCTCAAGTGGGCAGGGGGGGAGATAAAAAGATAAAACAGTTCCAGACAAGGAACTTCACAGTATGGTGTCCCCCTGCCCATACGGACGCTCTCATGCTCTGGAGAGCCAGCAGTTCATCATGGATCGAGGGGCACCGGCGCCCTGGGAGGAGAACCCAGGGTAGTCACCACGTGCCTTGGCTCAGCGAGGAAGTTCACAGTCATCTCGCCAAGCCGCTATCCCAGCAGGCCGCCACCATCCCGGGAGGAAGCGGCTTCCCTCCCGCCGCGCGGCCGGCTAGGGAAGGAGAGAGGAAAGCTGAGGCATGCGAGAGGGCGCATCAGGAAGAAACAGTCCTAGTGAGAGGGGCCCGGCGTTGAGGGCACAGCTTAGACACGGGTATGTCTACAGGTTCGCGAGGTGCCTGAGGCCGAGGGGGTGGCCGAGGTGGAGGGGGACTCCTCGTCTGTCGTGTCCCCCTGCTCCTCCTTGTGCAGGCCGAGGCTGATGTGGCTCTGCAGGGCCGCCGGTGTCAGCCACTCCTTGGGCAGGCAGCTCTGGAGGAAGGGGATGCACGAGCTGAAGTAGGCCAGGCGGTTCACCCAGCGCGGGATCTCTTTCCCGCATAGGATCTGCAGAGCGAACGGGAAAGGAACATGGTTAATAGAGTCAAAGTATATGTATGGCTGCAATAGTGTCCTCATCAGCACCGCTGTCTCAGCAGGACGAAGAGAGCTATTTGAAAGCAGGGCAGTCAGAAAACAGCTTTATACTCAAGCAATTAGCCTGCTAGATGTGCATAGCGAGCCCTGCCAGCCACAGCCCTGGATCAGCAACACGGAGGAGATGGGCGAACACGGTCCTTGGCCCTCAGCTCCTTTGGCTGCTCTGCTCTCCAGCTGTTCTTTCTGCTGGCCTTTCTTCCTCATGTTAGCATGCTAGGTCAGCAAAGCCATAAATCACTGTATCTGAGTCTCATTTATATACTGTAGCACATTGCCTTATAATTTCTTTGTATACTGTTTTCTACATATGAGAAAGAAAATAAAAAGCATAAATACCTAGGATCTCTCAAAGCTTGTTTTATCATGCATGCCCTTGGCATTGATTTGGGTTACATGCTGCTAGCAAAGATCCTGTTTAGCTGGCAGTTGTATCATATTCAGCAGAACAAAACAATTTAGTGCATACTGCAAACCCTTTCCTCTCTAGCATTTGGCCACATATACACACAGGTGCCAGATTTCAGTAACTATATCTGTGTTAGGCCACATAAGGAAAATTTCCTTTGGCATTTTACCATTTCCCTTACCAGACACAGAAGGAGCATCTGCAACTAACCAGCTGGGTTGCTTCAAGAATCAATCTGTAGTAAATATACTGCCTGTGTATGTGCCCTATATTGGCACGCTAGAGGCTGAGGCAGCTTCAACATTCATGATGTCTGAGCTCTCCTTCCCTCTCACAACTGTCCCCTCTAAAGCAAGACAAAGGAAATTCTACCCTGCAGATATTGTTTCATGTTTTATGTGAATCAGTGGTCCCAGAAGTTGTCCATACTGTATCTTATGCTAATAATAAATTCCCTTGCTCCTCATCCCATAACCTCCAAGCTTAAAATTATGCTTAGTTAATTAAATACTAATTGCTGCAAAAACTAAGAGGGTGTTTGATTGTTGAAGAGAATATTTGTTGAGATGTTTGCTGCTGGCAACAGAAATATATTGCTTAGACATTTAAACAAGGTTTCAGGTTTTCTGTGCAACCAAAGCAATTCTTGAGGATGGGCCATGTGTGACACTGTAACTTTTATGGTGAAAGAACAGCAGATGTGTCTGTCTGGGATAGAAAAATATAAGTCCTGCTCCACTAGTCACCATGAATCCAAGGAAATTAGCTTATCCCAGCAGCATGGAATTGCCAGTAAAGTGTGGAGAAAGCAAAACCCTGACTGTGCTAATTTGACTAGGGAAATCACTTTACTTCAGCCTGCATTGTTTCAAAGTGAAGAAATCGTTTTGTGAAATTGAAGACATTGTTACTAGAGCTAAAACAGAATGATTTAACTGCGAACATTACTTGCAAGCATAGGGGCCCCAGTTCTTTACCCAACACTTTATAAATTATAACCTGAGTTCTCAGTAGTGCTGCACTCTACTTAATCTCAGACACAACCATATGTATCTGTATTCTTAAGTGTTGTTTCTGGGACAATTTCTTTATTAGTAGCCTTAGTTTCCTTTGTTAAACTCTATCATAAACTTATATCCTCCTCACATACCTGTTAGACTCATTCATAGAAATGTTAGTCTGATTTTCTCATCAGATATATCCTCATTTTCAGATGAATACTGCTGAATTGCACATCACTTAAAATTTTATTCTGTGCATTCTACTGAGGCAGTGAAACTGAGCTAAAGCCAACAAATACAGTAGAATTGTCTCTGGATTTTGTAGTGTTTCTTTTTCTCCTCTCTAGGAACTTAGGCAACATACAACTTAGGCATGACTGTTTGCGGATATGTGCATGCATGTGTACATTTGAGTAGAGTTCTCAAGCAGTCATAAGCCATTGAGGATTTCCCACAGACATTATTAGGATAACAATGATGTTTTGAAAAAAATAGCAGAAGCAACAGAATAGGACAAGGTAAGAGTGTCTGGAATAGCAATACTGTTTTAAGATTTGGCTTTCTTTTCTAAGCAGATCCCTGGCAACTGAAATAGCACTTCCCACTATGGAAGTGATGCTGAGGCCTTTTATTTTTTTTTATGGGAGCTGCTTCATCCAGAATGAATCAGTGAGGCGAGGAAGAACCATAAAAAGAACTGAGAGGTGTGGGTGTTAGGCTATCAATCAGCAAAGGGCAGTTTGAGGAGCTTAAGAATAATGAAGTCAAAGTGTTTTCCTTTCCTCAGTCCTGCTTGTCCTTACCTCTTGCCAGATCAGCCTCTGTACTGCTCTATAACAGAGCATGAAGCTCAACAGAGGCAAAAAGGCACCCGTAGTGAATGCCAATAACACTACACGCTCCTCTGTTTTCAGCTCCTTGCTGTGAAGTCAGTTGTTCTGGAGTATCCAGCACTACTTAGCTGACGGAGAAACTGCAAAAAAAACTGATCACAATGGGATTAACCCAGCCAAGCTTAAACAAAACAGCACAAGCAAGATGAAGTAGGCGTTTTCCAGTTGTAGCTGGATCCACAGAAAAATCTACCTACCTGCCCCTTCAGAGTGATTCTTGAATGAAAACTGCATATTGGAACAATAATTTACATAACCATGAGTCATACATCGTTTCCAACAGCAGAATTCTATTTATTTATTTATTTATTTTTAGGCATCACATTTGCCAAATGATTGTTTTTCTTCAAGGAAGGCAACTCTATCTGCAACAGGGTATGTGCATGTCCTTTCAGACTCAGCAGATAAACTGTTACAGGTCAGGAACAACTGATGTCGACCTTCATATGAAATTAAACCACTATCATCCTTTCAGGAAACAGCAACCACTCAAGAAAACGTAACACACCTGACCTTGACACTTCACAGAGAAGCAGTTGAGCCTGTATCTGGTTGACCAGAGAAGAAAGTTTAAGCAGCAAACAAGGAGAGAAAAGGGCTAAGCCTATGTGAGACATAACTCTGAACAGTACCTCAGGTGTTAGTTATAGCTGAGATATCTATCTGAGGCAGGACAGTGCTTGAGATGGGCAACCCCAAGGAGTACCTGAGAGGCTGGGCTACTAGTAGGAAAGCTTGAAGCACTTCAGCCAAGGTAGGGATTCCTAAGCTTTGCAAACCCCCTATGATTGCATACACCCATCATTACTGAGCATAGCTTTTCCTCATCCTTTCCGTGCTGTAAGGTCCCTAAAGATTTTCTGCTTACCCCGCCGAGTCCCTCACTGCCATAGACTGAAATCCAGCATGATGTGATAGTGAGTGTAGCTTCTAATTACCCACCAAGAGCCCGTCCCCATTTCTGGCAGAAACTTCTCTGGAAGCTGCAGGTACTTTCAGCTTCCACTGTGAGGCACCTCGCGATAGAGAGACAAGTCTCACAGCTACAGCTTCTTCTGTAGACTCTGCACAACAGCTGCAAATGACCTAGCTCGTGTCTGTAGAGTCAAGTGGAAACAGCAGTTCAGACATTCGTGGCAGAAGCCAAATGTGAGGGAGAAATGGAACTTGACAGTTTGGGTGCTATTTCTGGGCAGCTGTCAAATCCACACCAGCTTTTCAACTCATCAAGAAGCAACTAATTTGGGATATAAAAAGAGCCTCTAAGCATCTTAAGCCACACCATTTTGCACTGAACAGTCCCTGGGTAAAAAGAACGAACAGCCCTGGGACTAACGACTGCAACCTATGACTCTTTCCTCCCCCAAATGCCCTAAAAACTAAGATTCACATAGTCCACTCAACAAGACCTTTTCTGTAAAGGTCCAGGGGACCTATGTCCGGGGGAACACACTTAGCCTAGTAGCTGAGATACATTAATGATACATAGGATGATGCTAATCAATGATTATATTTCCTTAAACAGTAGTGATATGCTCAAGTTTATTAAAATATTTTCAAAATCACATTGGATGTTTCAATATTTAGAAAATAAACTGGAAATAATAACATGAGATATAGAAAATGATGCAGTGCAGATAGCAAGACACCATAAATAGACTGCATGCCTTTTTACTTTTTTTAAATTCAAGGCTATAGAGACCAGCAAACACATGAATTAGTCCAATTTTTGTTTCTACACTGAGGCTTTATGAGTTCTGCACTGAGCTTCTACTAAATCCCCCACTGGGATGCTAGTGGGTGCGTGTCAGACATGTCTCTGCAGTCCCGTCTCTGCAGAGGGACAGAGCTGCCTCCATGGAGGGTCTGCATGCAGAGAGATGCCAAGGGCAGAGAAGATAGCTGTGGGCCCAGTGAGGCAGGTGCAATGACAGCACCTCAGCACTTAGGGTTCACCCTCACTGACCAGACCTCCAGGGGAAAGGCAGGGTGGCTGCAAATGTGACCAAATGACATCTTGATGAACCACATTCAGAGCCAAACTATAGCTGGCCTCACTATTTAGTAACGTACCAACACTGCAGCAAGGCTGTACCCACTCTGAGCATGAATGTCCTTGTAACCAGCGCTTGTAAGTACAGTCAGCAGCTGTAGGATCACACGGAAGCAAAGGGCTTCAAAACAGATGACCATAGATGAATACAATTAAGTCTGGGCTTGTTAGTGACATTTAAAATAGCAGCTCTCACCACATGAATGAACAACTAATTCATTTGTATAATCATGCCGTTCTTCATGGTGCAAAGACGGACACTCTTTCCCTAGCAGGTGCTGCTTCCATCCTATGATTGAGAAGAGCCATGCCTCATATGGCATACGGTCATCCCTTCAAGTGTTACGGCCCTACTGAACATGACCAGGCCAACTCTTGCCCACAGAATGATGGGCATGAACAGCATTTTTTTTTCTCTGAATAGCTAATCAATAAAACTCTGTGTTTTGATCTCAAGCATTGTTTCCTGACATTACTAAGCAGCAAGGTATTGAGGACGGGGATACATGGAGGAGAGAGATAGAGAGGGAGAGAGAAACTGCAGGAACATGCAGAGACAGAAAGACATTGCCATCCATAGTTCACTGAACTATTAAGCAAGTCCTCAAAATCCTATCAACATACCTAAGTGTTATGTTAATATTTCTGACACATTGCATTTATAACTGATATTGGTGAAAAGGACAGGGCTTTTCCTTGCCATCTTCACTTGGAAAAAGGAGGCATCTCTTTTCATGCAGCTGCATACACATAGACTTGAAGGCTTCGTGTTGATGTGACTAGAGATTAATTCCCCAGCTGGTATGAACTGATTTAGCTTCAAGGAATTATGTTTATTTATAACAGGTAAGGACACAGGGCTTTTGGGTTTGGGAAGACAGCTGCAAAAACAAAAACACACACACAGATAAAGCAAGCTGCAAAAGAAATGGTGCAAAACCTCTAGATTGACACAAGCTCCAGAGAATTTGACTTTTTTTTTTTTTCTCCCCTCTCAAGTTTACTTTTAAAACATCTTCATATTCTGTCTCTTTGGCTAAATGGACCACTTTAAAGTGAAAACCTGGAATAAGTGCAGAGACATGCAACAAAATCAGACCACTTTCAATCTAATTGAAATAATGTGCTAATAATGCGCCTTTGGGCACAGTTGATTTCTGTTTTGAATTACCATCTTGCCATCTAGTACCATCCACCTGGGCAAGTAGATAGAAGAGATTAAGGGATAAACACCTTTCAGCTCTCTTAGTTTATCTGAGTTATTTTACTAATCTTTTGTTAGACTAAAAGACTCCTTCAGGACTGTAAAGGTAGAAAGGTTAGGATGGAAAAGAAGCTTATGCTTTTATAGCAGCCTTCATTCTAAGGTGTCCAAAAACATTTCATAAATTTGGTGTACAAGCTATATCTAGAAATCTTTCTCCTGAAAAGGAGTCACGTTAAACTGGAATGCAATATAGCAATCACTGAAACAGTATGCAATCAAACCATACATACTTACAGACAGAAGTGAGAGAAAAATAGTATCCATCTGAAACCATAAGGATAAATTTATGGATGCAGGATGTCTTTATTAATAAACGTCTTCTAAATGTGTGCAGTATTTAAAAAATATGGAACAAACACAGCCTGTTCCCCATAGAACTAATGATATTCAAAGATTAGTGAAATCAAACAAGTATTTCCATCAGCCTCAGTGAGGCAGGCACAAGAAAAACTTTTTCATACCTTGCAGTTGTTCCCCACACACACACACTTACTACCCATCCGACATGCTGTGTCCTCACTGCAACAGAACAGCACACCTGCTTTTATAGAACAAAGCAGCTTTCTCACAAAGCCACCCTTTCTTCTCATCACAAAAGGGGCAGCTGAAAAGGAATTGTTAACTAAGGAAACCACAGGTATTACTTGGCTACTTAGGACATGCTGAAGTCTGGTTTAGAGAGCTGCTTCCTCTTCCAAACGCGACAAATGACACCTGAAGTTTCCCTTTCCGGTGTTTAATCCTTTCTCCCAATAGTTTTCAGGCTAGGGAAGGCTTCCTGGGTTTTAATATCATTATGAACAGAACTCACATGTATCTGGAGACAACCTTGAAAAGCTTTAGGATTGAATTATTCATCAATGGTTAAAAAGTTGCCCCCTTGTTCATTTCATGACTCAGCAAATCTGCCTTTTTCAGAGAAATTGCTGAAAGTCAAACTTCAAGGAAAATAGGACAGAAGGTTTGTTACGTGCCATCAGTCTTGTCTTGGTTGAGAAAGTAGGAGTGAATAGCTAGAGAGAAAAGAATATGCTCTGACCCGGAGCTCCTAGCACTTCAGCACAGCTGCAGGCACTCGGCCACTAAAGTAAGCTCCCTTTCTTTCTACCAAGGCTCCAACCATTGTGACAAAAGACAACCAAGGCACCTGCACCATCACAGAAATACCTATCACCTTGGAAAGGTGCAAAGTTTAGGGTTTAGAGGATTCTCATCTTCTCCTATATCAAAGAAGAATGGGTCCAAGCTCACTTCATTAGCTTTTCTAAGGTCACTCACCCAAGACCACCCATTACCCAAAATATAGCTTTTTTCTACAAGATACTGAGGGCTATGACCTTTTCTGTAGTATCTAAATTATACATAGAGATCAGAAAGAGTCATACCCCTTTCCAGAATAGTGAGCGGAAATAAAAGAGTAAAACAGTGGTCTTCTGTTGCTGCAGTCCTCAAGTGAAGTTCCCACACTCTTCAAAGTGAGTCAATCAGTGCTTCTCAGTACATTTTCTAATTATGATAAGCATCATCTGCATATTTTGTCAAAAGACTCCATGAGACATTATTGCTGATTCATCATTGTTAAGACTACAGGGGAATAAAAGGGACCATCTTCTCTGGTGCCTGAAAGCTCCACTTCTTTGATAATGGTCTCCTGTGGCTCAAAGCAAGGTGCTGAAGAGTTTCCTTATAAAGTGATCATTCCAGTTGCTTGGCAGTAATCACACTGATGAAGGGAATAAGAGTGATTTCCTTGAGTCATTCTACTTATCTTCCAGTTCAGGTGTTGATTCATGGGTGATTTTCTCCCTCCCAACAGTGCTGAGTTCCCCTTTCTCGAGAAAGGCGGTAGCAACTGTCATCCTTGTGGTAAGAATGGGGCTCCATGGTTTATCTAGGACAGAAAACTTGAGAAGCGTAGAAAATTGCTAATGGGAAGACAAATGAGTGATCTTCAGTTTGCAAAAGGGCTGAGCACTGATATTTTTTTCAGAATCTTTAAGTCACGGTGGCATGGTATGATCCTCACCCACTGCTGAAGAGCATCACCAAACTTAACCTGGAGCAGAAAACTTTCATAAAAGAAAACTCTGATCCTCAAGCTACTGTTATCCAAGCATTGCTGCAACCTGCAGCTTCTCTAAAGAGCTGGAGTCAAACACCACACGCTCACCGTATGTCTGTGCATCAGCAGGGCTTGTGTTCTTATATGCTCACACTGAACCCCCATACCCAACCTTTCACTTTACATTTAGGGGTGCAAGCCTTAAAAGAATGCATTTGCCTTGCCTAATCTCTTTCTTTTATGAGTTCAAATTCCATTTTGGATCTGCAGGGCAGTCATGAGTCACACTCCTGCCTTGAAAAGAGCCTCTCTGACAAGCTGCTTCATGATTCCCTGTGTCTGCATGCACCTACCCCTCTCTGTGCCCAAACAGCATGGTGGTGACATGCCCTGGTGACAGTGTGTAGAACCCCATGTCTTTCTTGGTCTCTGACATTATTCATAGCATACGTCCACGTTGCCCATGGCTGTAGTGAGGAGCACTCCTGCAAAGCACTGGAATGGTTGAGTCCTCAAACTTAAAGCTCCTTGCAGAAAAACTTATAGCTAGCTGAGGAGTTACTCTGTTGGGGTTTTTCCTAAGGACACATCTATTTTATAGTAGTTTAACTTCTTCCATACTGCGTACCTTGTGCCTACTTGTATTGAAAAGCAGGATATTCAACAAGGAAGTTACAAAACACATTATGGCAGGAACTAATTATTTTATCTTCTCTTTTTCTTTTTAAAGGTTATTCAATGTTACATTTTCCCATACTGCAAAGTTTAAATAGCCTCTATTCAGCTTTAGAGCTGTTCTGGTGTAATTCACAAGGGTCCTCTGATCAATAATACTTGTAAGCAATAGAGGAAAAAAATCTATGTTTTTCCAATACATTTTCCCCCCTGCTTTTTTATGGGTTTTGGATGGTGTATATTATAGTTTTTATTTTTATATTATATATATACATATAATATCAAAAAAGGCACTCACTTCCTGAAAATTGCAAATTTGTATCAGAACATTGATAAGTCACTCTTGTTTCTTTGCCATTAAAGAGTTCTGCAGATCATATAGAGTTGTTTGTACCATTGCATATGTACATTTGCATGCTAGACAGGCCTGGCATTTCAATTCCTGCTCAGAAGCCTTTTCAGCGAGCCAAGACGCAGACACTCCTCATTTCTGTTTAAAGAAAACCTGCAATCAGCGTGCCGCATCTCCACCATCCTCACCCCATACTTTTAAATAGCAAAGGGTTTCCAAAACTGCTAAGGACAGAGATAGTAGATCCAGCTATGGGCTGTGGCCTGCAGTCTGTGGTGCAGTTCCCCTTTTGTGAGTACTACTGCAGCCTTCAAGAAGCAAAGATACAGAAAGAATAGCTGTGCCAACCTCAGCAAGAGCAGCAGAGAAGTGATTGCAGTTCTTGTGCATCAGATGGTACGCGTTGCCTTTGTACTCCTTGCCCAGCTCTTCCATAATTTTATCCACGTCTTCTTCTGTGAAGTCTGTGGTGCCCAAGGCAATGGATTCTCTAGTTGAAAACAAAACACACAACAGGAGACATGGAAAGATATGGTGAAGATGCTGGACCCAGGCAAGAGAAGATAACAAGGCACTGATGCAAAGGCTAGGCTTAAAACATGAGCATGCATATCTGATGCTAACAACCCTAACTAATTAAAATGGATGACCTATATCTTCAAATTATCCACGAAGCAGATACAGCTCAAGCAAAAGCCCAAGAGCTTCCTACTCACCACCTGGGAAGCCTCTGTTCTGGGGGTCTGCTTGCTTCCCACCTTGTCCTTAGTCTCAGCAGAAACTTCCAGTAGGACAGAAGTGCCCTTGATGCATGATGTAGAAGATTTTTTCATGGTAGGGGCAAGGAAGAATCAAGCTGAGAACTTTATACACAAACATATATCTTAAGCCTATTGTTTCTCTCAGTACTCACTCAACACTGCCCAATCTGCTAGCTGGCAGTCTCCAAGACGCTGTCATGTCAACCAGCAGTCTGTGCCAATTGCCAGGGACCCCATCTCCCATCAACAGCTTCTTGAACCACATCCCCAAAGACTGAGCACTTTGAGTTGTGTCCTAATGACCTTCTCTCAGCCATTCTGTTCCTTATGATGGAGCAGTAATAAAGACAGGACATGACTTCCACTACCTCTCTGTGCAATACCCATAAATAGGTGAAGAAAGATCAACTCTATTTTCCTGCACTCCAGCTCTGCACAACATACTGTACTCCCGTTCAGACTGACATGAAAAATTCAAAACACTGGAAACAAACGTAACGGGGAAGGGAACTACCTTAATTTATAAGTACATTTTTAAACTCTGCTGAAGGCACTGTTCTCCATCTGGTGTACACCTTCAAAAATTGGACCCAGAGGACAAGATTTCCTCATATTCTCTAAGTTACAAAGTGGGAAAGGACGTGGAAAAGTACCCTTACTTGAATTTAAAGGTCTCGCCAAGTTCTACCGCACTGCCAGGTGTGATCTCGAAAATCCCACTGAAAGGGTAAGGATGCCCTCCATAGGCAAATTCTGACAAGGAAAGAAACATAATGTGAATGATGAATGAAGGCTTTGTCAAAAAAAAAAAAAAACCCCATAACTCTATGGGAGCTGTAAATATGGCTTAATATCAGCAGCAGAGTCTAGGATAACACCAAAAATCAGTTTCAGACAGATTCCAAAAATATAGTTTTCTCTGTTCAGTTACCTATCAGCCTGAGCATATCCTCACAACCTCACACCAGAGCAGATTCCATCAATGCTAATAATGTTGGTTTGCTGCAATTCCTGTAAAACTCTGAGCCTCCAAATTTGCACCTGTCCAAATGGTTTCCTGACAATGAAGAGATCTACAGTGAAGCCATCTAGAAATACTATAGAGGGATGTAACTGTTGATATCTAGCTGAAAAATGTGGGTTTTTTTTTTTTTTTTTTTTTTTTTTTTTTTTTTGAGTAGGGAGAAATCAGTCCTCTGCCAGAGAGATCTATAGGAAATTACTGAAAATTTTGCAGAAAACTGATTGCACTTCTTTAGCACATGACTCAAGTTTACAGGCCTCACCATGCCTTGTGATGGTCTTTGCAAGCCATCTCACATCATCTGTGAAAGAGATTCTGTGTTCAAGAGGAAACTTGGCATCCGAGAGCTTTTATTTCCCAAGTAGCATCAGCCAAAAGTAACACAAGTGAGACATCCCAAGCTATTCCTACTTAATGCTGAAGGAAATTGAAAGCCTATGATATTCGGTCCTTTGGCTTCACTGCACTACAGCCATTTTACCAGACTCCTTGACTGTTCCTTCTGCAGCAGATACTCGAATTGGCTTTAACACCATCCAACTGAAACAGCTGATATTTTCCAAAACTCATTCTTACCACATATTTTTAAGAGTTTAAGAGTACGGTCTCCCACCTGAACATAAAGATACAGCACCAGGCTAAAGAAAGCCTGAAATGTCACTTTTTTTTTCCCCCCCTCTCAGCCATAGTCTATGATGCGATTCACCCCAAATACAGCATGAAAAATCTCTGATACAGAAGGGCACCTGCTGAGATTTTACTGTTGTAAGGGTCAGAGTGGGTTGACAATACTATGATCAAGGCCTTCCAAACATCATTCAAGCATCTTGTGTGTTGCTGTGGCTATAGAAAGCATCACTTTCCAGTTGGGGTTTGACACACCAAGAACACCCTGGAACAATGAGCTGCAGGTTCCTGTCCATTCCTGTGGAACTGAACCACATTTTTCTGATGCCACCTGCAGAATTTGGTGTAGATCTAAAACCACCATAAATATACCATGGGCTTCCAGAATTCCCCAGGATCTTCCCCAGGATCCTTGTCCATACAGGAGCCTGTTTTAAGAAGTTCATCAAGAGCTCGATCTTTCCCATACAGAATAGATAGGACTGTGTTATCATACTGGGAAATTTAGAAAGTTGAGGTAGTGGTACTTCTAGAGAGTCTTCTGCTTTTTATGGATGTTTTCTCATGGTCATGCCTGTTCACCCTGTTTCTGATCTCTTCAGGAAGCTTGGCGTATTTCAGTACTTAGTAATGTCAAATCTTTCCCCTCATAGCATTTTAAAAGTCTCATGAAGAGCTTTCTCCTCCTTGTAATTCTGCTGTTTCAAAAGGACAGTTTTCAAGATCTGAATATCCAGATTCCAAAATTTCTAGATCATAGGGCATTGTTAAAGAATGACTTACCTAACACTGATCTATCCTAATACTGAATCAGCTAAGTATCCACTCCCATCTTCCCCTCCTTCACTGCAGGACATCTTTCCAACTTGCTTGGTCCCTCTTACCTGCCATTCTGCTACATATCCACCAAGCTCTAAAGGCTGCAGTCACAGGGTGTAAATAAGAAAGGCTACATATTCATGATTAAACTGCACAAGTTTCAGCTGGACTTTGAAAGAAAATTGGCTGAATTTTTCACTCCTCAAAACATCTCTTGCCAAAACTATAAATTTGGGAGCCTTTTCTCTATCAGATTGGCCATGAAATTGTCTCTAGGTTCTACAGGTAATGAAAAGGAAATACTTCATACCTCTGCCGTAGATCTCAATGCCAGAGTGGAAGACACCAATCCCCAAGGTTGAAGTGTATTCATTTATCCAGTACTACAGTAAGAGAAAAAACACATTTGAAAACATTTGAAGAAAAGAAACACAGGACCTTGGCCTATGCTATATCACCCATCTCCCTTCCTCAGGGCAACTTCTGTAAGGTCAAGAATGATTTTGAAGTTGTCCCAAAGCAAAGAAAGGCAAACAAACAGAGAATCCTCATAAATCTCCAGAAGTGGGCACTGTATCTGTACAGCTGGCAGCAGTTAAGTCAGATAAATAAATAAAATCTCATTTGATCCTCTTCTGATCCTCTCAAAACACCACCTTTCCCTGTATTCATATATAACTAGACATGAACCTTCATAGATCTAGCTGCTACAGGGTAAATGGATGTCTGATTTTTCGTCTCTCTTCCTATTTAAATAATTCACACTAATTTGACCAACTTCTTTTTAAGAGCCTAAATTAAAGAATACCAAAATATTTTCTGTACACTATTTTATATAACCTTTCCCAAGGCTTCTTTATAACAAGTAATTTTTAGACAGGTATACTTAATGCAATGAGTTTTTAGAGACAAATCTACTCCTCCCATAGGCCAGAGAAATATCATGCAGTACTTTTTGGTATGACAACAGTGGTTGCTTTATAGAAGAGAAAGAGAGAGAGAGAAAAAAAAACAAAATACAAAAACAGAAAGAAGTTTGAGCAGATTAGTCAACATCTTGCTCAAATGCATATACTGTCAAAAACTGTTTTCTGAAAAGACAAGGGTCTGCACTTGCAAAATTAGATCCGAGGTGACCACATCTTCACCTGTGTCAAAGGGCGAAGATTTTTCAATAGCTGTTCAGCAGCTTCATTGCTGTGAAGCTGTGAGGTGCATCACTTTTCCATTACATTGATAGCAGAGGGCTATCACAGTCCAGTACATGCATGCGCCCCTCCTCCAGCAAGCACTGCTCAGGGCTCGTCTCTACCATACCGTGAAGGGCAGTGCAGACTAAACAGCTAAACTAATTCTAGAGCAGCAGACCCATGCCAGAGCAGTGCTCTGCTGGAGATAATTAGCCCTGCTACAAAGCACAAACATTTATCAGATTGGCTGCAGAGCTGAGCTGCTGTAAATGATGTATTCAGGCTATGAGTGGCATCTGTCCCGCTCCAGGTATATTTACAGTTCACCAGGGGCTAACATGGAGGGAAGATGCATCCTTAGTAACTCAGAGTGGCCAAAATCTTATTTTTATCAAGTGCTGTGAGGACAGTAAGTGTCATTCACTTGTCACTGTGCAATGACATGCATTCATTAAGCTAACATGAAGCCGACTCTCTTTTGGGTTGGTAGCAACTTATAATTCAGCCAGAACACTGAAGCTGCTCCTTCCCCTGTGTCCGGCAGCTCTGGCACATGTAAGGACCAACTCTGTGAGGTAACCAGACCTCTGGCATGCTTCATCCACTTTCCTCGTGCTGTTTGTATCCCTATGTATTTACACACATGCATACTTATGTATTCTTGATGACTGTATTGACTGCAGTAGCTCCATAAATCATCTGGAGATGCTTTCTCTGTAGCCACAGCTACTCTGGGAAAACACAGTAGTTTGATTTGAAAAGTGCAACCCTAAGAGTGACTTGGTGTTCGGTCCACCTTGATGTCCTAAATCCCTGTCTATAAAATTGCTTGCGCCTGGCAATGCAGCTGTTCCCTTTCCTACAGAAAATCCCATAATTCTGCTTGCTCTTTGTGAGTTTTGGCATTCTCATAGATGCCATAAATGATGCCAATGATTACCGCCCAAAGCCATCGGGGCAGCTGACCCTAGCAGGTCTCCTGTCCATTACTCTCTTCCTATTTAGCTATTCTTTTGAATTTTACCAACTCTTTTCTTTAGGGCTGGATCAGAGCATTGGACTAGAGCTAGTTCAAGTAGCTCCCAAACTCTACTAATGTCCTGCCTCAGTTGGCAGTGAAAACCATTTTTTTGCAACGACACTTAGCATTTCAGGGACAGGATGCACCCTTGCTGTCTGTTGCCCTTCTCCACACATTTCCACCTCCACGTCCTCCACCACAGAAACATCACTGCTCTCTAACCAAGCAGAAAACGGGGGGGGAGGTTGCACAGGGAAGCCCATGATATACGTGACATCTGCTAAGGAGACAAAAAGCACTTCTCCCACGGACATATGGCTCTCACTTCAGTTCTTTTATCTCCCAGATCTCAAGAGTTAACTCCTCAAATTCTCAGAGAGTTCTAGTAATCCTTCAGAGAAGCACTGGTTTCTACACAGACCCATAGTAACAGTTCCCAGGGGACAGCCTTAGTAGGTTGTTGTCCTCCCTCGGACTGTGCTATTGTCTCACAAAAACGAAACAAGAGCAAAACACCCAGGATAGGACAGATACTTTGCTTAGCTGAGTAACTAATGTGGAGAGAGATTTTTAATTTAGAAGTGCATTTGCCAGTTTACCAAAGTCAGGGCCCTTTTGAGAGGCTGATCTGCACAAGGTTTTGTATTAAGAAAATTATTAAACTGAGTTAAACTGCAGATTGCTTTCAGCTATAGCTTTTTTTTCTTCCATTTAAAATCACAAGTTGTATCCAAGTGACACCTAAATAGAAACCTCTCCTTAATTACCAGATCAGAATAATGCACGGAGTAAGAAATCCCGCCTGTAGCAATGGCCTTCTCACCTCAGGCATGCAGAGCCCCAGCAGATCAGCACCTATCCTTTTTTCCTCCCTTGCCTGGCTCCCATTCTCAACACAGAGCCACAGCTCCTGAAACTCACCCTAACTCTGGGAGATGGGAGACAAGCTGCAGGACAGAGGATGCCAGGGCTCCAGGGAGAGGAGCAAAAGTATTTCTTCAGCTGACAGCAGGTGCTGGAGCTTTAGGACCATAATATGGACTTTTCCATTTTTAAATGATGCATTTTTTTTTTCAGAATGAACTATTACGGGCTGAACAGAAACAACCTCTGCCATGCCCAAATTTGAACTGAAAAGAAAGTTGTACTAGTTTAGTACTTGCTTTCACATACCTTCAGTAATACAGGGCTGTTATTGTCATTGATTTGATTCGGATCCTAGTACACTAATAACGCAAAAGATCACTGGTATTATCCATCATCAAGACCAAAATGCAAAGCAGCTCTGACTCACGGCTGCCTCTGTCCTCATCTCACCCGCGTCTCGAGGGTGCTGCAGAGTGTGGTGTGTGGTTGAACGCACAGCAAATGCCTCACAGCACTTTGGCACAGCCCTCGGGTTTTCTCTGGAGGAAGCTGTGCTAAAGTGAACATGTCAGTCACTTGCTGAGCTGGAAGAGAGGATCCAAGACAGATTGGAGCCTTGGTTTATACACAAATGCACGAGCTGGCCTTGTTCGCCAAGGGCTTCACAATTCTGAGTATAAGAATAGCAGCAAGAGTTAGCGAATGCTCCTCTCTTGAGAAAACTGGTTATTGCTTAGAGTGAAAAAAAAATCATTCTAGAGCCTGTTCTGAGTCAGGTGGAATAGCCAGGGAATAGAATTCAGCAGAACTTCAAAGGAAGTTTTGTGATTCATGCCTGCATTGCACAATGTCTGCAAAAGCGTGCTGTAAACCCTCTGCAGGGAGGCTTGGGGCATTCTGGCTCACTTCCATTCTCAGTAGAGTCAAAGAACTGCTCACAGGTGAGGAGAGTCGATGAGCAAAGCCAACCAGACTGCATCCCACTTCACAACAGGACCTCAGAGCCCAGGGCTCAAAATTCAAACTCAGACAGGAATTTCCTCTCATTTACATTTTGCAGTGCATCATTAAGTGTATTTAATTTACATTCCTGATAAAGCAGAGTTTCAAGTTCTCCAGCCTTCTGTGATTTCGTGTTTGCTTTAGTTCAGAGATTATAACATCTGCAGTGACAGTTTACCTCAGATACGGGCATGCAGAACAGTGGGCTGACCACAGAGCTTTTCCGAGCCACTTCAGTCATATTGCAGCAGTATTACTAACGCCCCACAGCCCTAGGCATTCACACAGTTCTGCCAATATGTCTCAATCCTTCTGCTCTTCACTTCTGGCCTGGAGTTCTAGTAATAGAAGCTCACTAGCATGAGGAATGATGTCAAATTATGCAGCATGGCTCCTGTTAGCACAATTCCTTTAGGAACTAGATGAGATGCCAGCTTATTTCATCGTGACCTATGTCTCCTTTGCAAGTCTTTGACTTCTGGAGAACCAAGTGTATGCTAACCAAGCAAAAAAGTGCTACCTTCCTAGTGTACTGTGAATACAGATTAAGCATAAAAGGATTTAAAGACATATTAATAGTCACAAGTAGAAAAACAATTAAAAGAAAGCTTAATGGGGTATTGGGAAGGGGACTGATGACCAAGAGCTATCGTTAGTACTTCATACCTAGGAAAAGTTTTCAGGGTGAATACTCTCTAAGCAGCATAAACAGACCACAACTTTTCCTCAATGAAGGTAAAATTCCTGTGCCAGGTTCTCCTCACTGTTGGAAAAAGGTATCAATTTGCAAGTCCTCTGCTGCATGGATCAGAGGTGCAATAGCCCACCCCATCACTCCAAATTCTGTTAGTCAAAAGTGCTTATGGACTTAAAGTGCTTAAGTCAGTTATACTTTCACTGAGAGCACCAGGCAACATAAAGAAACAATCTAGTGCATCAAGCAGGTCCCTCTTTCCTGAACAAATCCATAGGTTCAGCCTCCAGGTGTGGTGACCATTAACTGTCAAGTCTCAAGGAAAACAAGTTCCCAAAGTGTTGCCCTTGGCATCTTTGCAAACATATGGCATCAGAATTCTGCCAAAAGGATTTAAGTTAGAGGAACTGTCTCCAACACTAGGAGATCATCCTAATGCTGGAAGTCTGCACTTTCTCTGCAGCCAGACAGCCTGATGCAGCACCAAGATGAAGCAGGGATACAGGGTTGTACAGGGGGAGACTCAAGGAGTCCCCTTCAGACTTGGTGTATGACAAAAATTTTTCAGAATTGACTGGAAAAATCACAATACCGAAATAGTCATCTCTT